AATTAAAACAATATGGCACCTAAATATTCTTGAAATATTACTTTGAAAACTTTTGTATTTATTCACATTTTCATTGCTATCGAAACACAGCACCATGTGTTTGGAAATAGCATACTGCAGGACGGAATTAGAAGCATGCGAAACAGGAAAAGCATATGTAAAAGAAACGGAAACGGAAATGAGTTCTGCAAGTGTGTGCAAAAATTAATGCGTTATTCATTGCGACATGCGCTGAGTAGAAACCACGCAAGTGATTGGGCGCATACGTGTTCGTTACATAAGTTATTTTTGTTGTTGTTGCATTAACGAGCATCGGCACAAACGTGTTGACAAGCAGAAAGAGCCGAGAGAGAGGGAAATAAAAAATATTTTATGATGCGTTGGCATTGCAGCGGATGTTGTAAGATTTCAAAACTACAAACCGCTGCAATTGACATTTACACATGTGCATACCGTGCATATTAGGGTGGTGCAAAAGAAGTAAAGTCGGAATATTAATGCTCTCACCACCAAGGATTGTTCTCTAGCGAAAAAATCTACCCCTATTTTTTTATTTCGAAATCAAAAAATATTTAGAGGTCGCTCATAGCGCTTAAAGTTTTCCATGTAATTGTATGGGAAAAAATATACTTTTCGTAGAAATGGTATAAATTCTTTAAATAATAATAACCAGTTGTTTATTTAACAATTTTTCAATACTAACGACTTTTAATTGGTCCCCCCATTATATTTTTCTGGGTTTTTGGTAGACCTATAAAATACAATTACTATGAAAAAATGATTAAATAAACAATTGGGTTGATTTTTAAGAACTCGGTACCTTTTATAAGAAAAGTTGTTTATTCCCATATAAAATTCTTGGAAAACTTTGGGCGCTTTGAGCGACTCTAAAAATATTTTGATTTCAAAAATACTTTTTTTTTCGTTATAAAACGATCCTAGGAGGTTAAAACATTAAAATTCCGACTTAAATTTTTCACATACATTTTTGGATCACCCTAGTGAACATACATATATGTATGTTTCTTGATGTGTAAGTGCTCCTCCCTACGTGCTGACACATTAGAAAACATTTGAAGGTGTTTTGAAGCCGCACCGAGCCATTGAATGAGTAGAAAATGGAAATAGGAAGGAAATGCGAAAGGAAAAATGCACATTTTTCACATTTTGTACTGCTGTTGCACACATGACTATGGTTGGTGTTGTTGTTTTCACATTCATGTTTGGGCGCTTGCATTGCGCTTTTTTTGCACCACATCAAACTGCTCTGTAAAAAAAAATTGTGTTTAGTCAGTGCTAACCTGCCGCCATGGGTCCCTTACCTACACGCAGTTTTATTATCTCACCCTCACTCTGCTTTGCATGTCCCGCTAGCCGGTAGCTGGTAGCCGGTAGCCGCTGGCTGTTTGCGGCGTGTCTGTCACGCACATTAAGTCACGTGAATGCAAATGCTCAGTGAATGCGAAAAATGAATGTGCAACGTGTACGCCAACAACAAGAACAACACAACAACAGCCAGCTTGTAACGAGCTTCTCGCTTTGCGTTTCAACGAACGGTGACAATGTCAGCGCTTTTTACATGCTATTTGCCGTTTCCGATTGCAGGCTGCAAAATATTTGGCAGCACTCACACAAAAAGCTAGAACGTGAACAGCAATGGCACAGAAAAATGGAGAGCATCAAAAATATGCAAACAAGTTGTGTTTTTTTTTTGTTTATTTATGCTCACACGTATGCACATACATACATATATATGTCCAAATGTATGTTTGTCGGTAAAAAGTGAGTTCTCGAAAAAATCTAAATGAAACTTTTCACAGTACATAAATTTATTTGAGCAAAAAAAAAGGAAATTTGCAATACTTTTGCCAAGTAAAGCATTTGGAAAATCTCGTTTTGCATTTAAAATATTTAAATTGGCAATAAAACAAGCCACAGACCGCAATGCAGCTTTTTTTCAAGGCACCTTTTCTCGACGAAGAGGGCAGGGCGCTGGTGCGGCGGGGAGACGCTTGTTATTCTCTGCTCTGCTAACTGTATATGGCAATATGTAAATTCTTGCAACTGCAACTGTCCTACTTTGATGATGCGTTGCAGTTATGAGATAATAATTTTCGTGCATGCATTTTTCTGCTTCTGCTTCTGGTAAATATGCAAAATTGAAATATGAATTTTGCATTGGCTGTATGTGGAATGCGAGAAATTGGCTATTTACTGAAATTTTTGCAGCACAGCTATTTACATTTCGATTGCAAATAAACCCAATTTTCACACATTCATCAATGGAGCATGGAATTTGCTTGCAAAAAATAAAAAATCAAAGAAACAGATGTGAAAAAGTATTTGTACATGGCAAAAGAATTTAACTTTAACGAATATACATATAAAAATATTTAAAAGTAACCGTATTATTGATTGGATTTACAACCACAAAATATCAATCAAATAATATTAGACGCTAGTTTCCTTAGTACGGGTATACTGGTAAAACATTTTCAGCAAAGATTTTCTTTAAATAATGCTTTCTCGGTTTGGCCAGAATTTCATTAAAAATTAGTAAATAGTTCTCATGGATCAAACAATCAGGAAGATGGAAATTATTCGATTGTAATATTTGGGCCTCTTGTTTGGACTAACACAAAGTCATAACCCTGACTGCTGCATATAGAAGCTATGAATGAATAAAAGGGAAATTCCGAAAATAAATTACATAAGTCGTTAGCATGATCTTGAGGACTTTTCTACATAATCCCTTGAAGGCTATTCAGATATGGTATATGGATGTTTCCAAGACCAATCATAGTCTCGCCCAGAGGTCTACAACAGCTATCGAGGACTTTTTTCAAAAGCACAATCCTCAAGGAGATACCGTTAAATAAGAAATCAACTCAAAATTCCGATTAAGACTGATTTAATACCAGGATTGCTTCTTTATAAGTCTTAGGTGACCGCTTGACCCTCCATTCGCACCACTGGCAGAGAGTCTTGGAAACTAGAATTTCAAAATTCTGTCCAGCTTTGATTTAACTATTTTTTTCGCAGGAATAAGTTTTTTGGGCCTTCATAGACTCAATAAAATCTTAGAGTGGTTAAAAACAGAATCGGTATGTTTCATTTCAAGATGATGATTTCCCCAAGCGGAAATGAAATAAGTCCAGTGATGCGCAGAGAGAGCTTTTACTCATCGCGCGCCTATACAAAATGTATGGAAAACTTAAAAGAGCTTCGCCGGCGGGCAAGGCAACGCCCATCACTGATTTAAACAAAATCACGAAGCAAATCCGTTCCAATTGACGTATTATTTTATTGAACTCACTCAAAACCAAAAGCTCCACCAAAGCTTTTGTTTGCCTTTGACATTTGGAATTTTCAAAATCAAAACAAACTCAACGAAATGAATACAGTTTTGAAATTTGAGTACAAAAATTGTTAATTTATACATATCGCTAGCTTAGAGCGAAAAGTTGCTAAGCCCACTTTTTATGAAAACTCATATTTTGATACAAGATGCTAGAGAAACTAAAAATGCATCGTTTCGAAAAGGGTAAAGGTCCTTGTTCATGTTTTCTCGTTTATATTGAATGAAAGGAAAATTTGCTAGGTCCACAAAAAACCCGGAAAATTCGATAAGGCTAAAATAGTACGAAATCTTTGAATAAAGATCGAATCCCTTTGATTCGTATGGAGTTTGACTTTGCTTTAAGCAGGCAAAATGTTGTATTCAAAGTTTTGCGAAATACTTGAAGCAAATGGCTATAAGAAGTTTTTTTCCTCTCCTGTACAATTTTCAAATAGGGACTT